TTTCAGAATTAAATCACAACCGATGTGTACATAAAATATACATAGCAGGGCACCAGATAGAAATCTGCACCTACACAAAGCCATGACATTGCAAGTATATATGTAAGTAGAAAGATTATTTTTTAGCTTGTCGATGGGTTTAAATGATCACTGTTCACAGAGAAAGAAATAACAATGCATGGTGAGGTCCACAACATGTAGGAATAAAATGCATGCTGACAATAGATGAAAAGTCACCAGAGGAGGAATGGAGATATGCACTGGGGTTTCGTGTATCTATCTCTTCCTACTTCCAACTGATAGTGCCGCATTTTCTTTTTATAGCTGAGGTCCTAGCAGTGATGAGTGGAGCCCATACATAAAAGTAATTTATGTGCACTTTTTATGAGATGGGGTTTTACTGTGTTTCCCTGAACCTCTTAGTTCACTGATCTTCCTGCCTCAGTCTCCTGAATAACCTACCACAGCCAGCTTCAGACATCTAACTAGCATTCTTCATTTACAGTGGGAACAAGGTAGAACTTGAAGGGATAACTATGGATCCAGACCAAAATTATTCTGTTCTGTTGAATAGGGGATTTTTATGTTCCTTAGGTTATTAAAAGGAACTGAGACCACATTTTTATTATATTAGTTTCCTGTTGTCACTGTAACAAATGATTGAAATTGCTCTGGGATAAAACACCCATTTTTTTTAAAAAAATTTAAATGACACATAAAAATTGTACCTGTTTATGTAGTGCTGTGTATTGTTTCACTATATACATTGTATAATGTTTAAATCAAAGTAATCATGTCTATTTCCTCAAATATTTATTATTTTTATGGGAAAAACATTTTTAAACATCTGTCAAGCTTTCATTTTATAAACAAAATTGTTATCTATAGCCACCCTATCACATAACAGAACACCAGAATTCCTTTCTCCTAGATAGCTTGGCACCTGTGGATCAACTTCCCCCCAGCTTTCTCTCTCTCTACTGTCACCAGGCTCTGGAATCCACCATCACACTCTTGACTTCTGCTTTATTAATCTTCAGTTCCACATAGGAGTGAAACCATGTAGTACTTGCCTGGATCATTTCACTTACCGTAATGTTGGTTTCAGCCATGCTGTTGAAAGTGACAAGATTTCATTTCTATGAGGGAATAGTTCTCCATGCTGTGTATCTCTCACATCCTCTGTATGTATTCATCATTTCAAGGACATTGGATGTGATTCCATATCTTGGCTATTGTGAATAGTGCTGCAATGAGCATGGAAATGCAGATGCTATTTCAACATACTCATTCTGTTTCTTTTGGCTTTACGACCAGAAGAGAGATTACTGAATGATACAGGAGTTCAATGTTTTATGTTTTTAGGAAGCTGCGTACCATTTTCCACACTGCCTGTACTAATTTATATTTCCTCCAAGAGTGTGCCAAGATTCTTTTTTCTCTACATCTTAGCACCTTAAAACACTACAAATTGTTTTTCTAAAAATACTAGAGGTCAAAATTCCAGATGGGTCTTATAGTGCTAAAATAGGCAACACTGGGGCTAGGGATGGAGCTCGGTGGTAGAGTCCTTGCCCAGCGTATGTGAAGCCCTGGGCTCCACAGCCATCACCAAAAATCTAAACAGAAACAAAAACACATTAGCAGGGCTATTTCTTTCCAGCTTCTAAAGCTACCAGCATTCCTGGGTTCCTGACTGCATCACCCCAATCTTTGTTTTGGGGGTCGCAGTACCTTTGTTTTCTGTGTTTCAAATCTCTCTCCATTTCATTCACTGAGGATTGTCATAATTACATCTAGAGCTCACTCACATAGGATGGAAAAATCTCCACATATCGCCATGCTTAATCATATCTGCAACTTTCCTTTGCAATATAATGTCACGTTCACAGGTCCCAGGGGTTAGGGCATGGGTGTGTATGGAAGGTCACCAGAGGGTTCCATTTTTGCGATTCAAAATGCAGAGCCTAACTAACCCCACATGGATCTTCTGTCCCCAGAAAGATAGTTCCAGCTCCCTTACCTGTACTCACCTTCAGAATTCCCCTGAGAAACTATCACTAGAGGTGGTGACACTTCCAGCACTGCACCTGACTCACCCCCACCAGTTTAACAAGAAGTATGTGCCATGATGTAGTTGCCATGCCCGTACAAATATCCACATTTTAAGCCAACTTTCCATCCCTGACAATATCTATAAGCAATGTCCGCCTGCAATCACCCCCATGACACCCACCCATGATGTGCCAAGAACTCAGAAACCTTGAGAGACCGTCTAAGGCAGGAACACCATCCAGGTCATTTCTCAGGCTGAGTCCACAGCCGGCCCTTCATCTCAGAGGCTGACGTCACTGGTCCCTGGCATTTTCCCTCCTCCATCCCCCTCCATGTGGCTGAGCACGCCGTCCACTGCTTCACCGTATTTCTGGCCTGTTCCAGCCCGCAGTCTCCAGCCCACTCCCTCTCACAGTGACACTCAGGGGGGCTCCACTGAGCACAGGGGACGGAGCACCCGTCTCCAGCGGGCGTCAGGTCATCTCCCAGGTCTGCACAGTGCCCTGGGGCTCTGGGACACGAGAGTGGCCGAGAGATGCTGCCTGCCCAGGTGATAGAGGGTCCAGCGTGGCTCTTGCTGACAGAGAGAGGGACCGCAGGGAGGGTGGGGTGTCTGGTGTGCACTGGTCCATTCTCCCAACAGGGGTGTCTGCCCAGACCTCACTGCCACTTCCAGCTGATGGTGATGAGTCCCGGATGTCCCAGTCCTATTCATGTCCTCCCTCCTCTGCTCCTCCACTGTCCCTCAGCTCCTCTCTGTGCTAACTCTGTGTCAAGAGCTGTGAGTGACAGCTGGATGGGGGTCTCTGAACTGATCTCCACGTGGTCTTGTTATGGCTTAGGTCTAGATTGTCCTCAGTCTCATGTCCTCAGAGGTGGGGCTTTGAAGGCCTTTGGACCATGGAAGTGCATTGCTCACCAATAAGTTGACACATTGATCAGTTTATATCTAAATGAGCTATTAGGAGGAGAAGGACTTGTCTTTGGAGGGTGTGAGTTACTTTTCTCTGATTGCTGAGACAAAATACATATAGGGCTCAAAGTTAAAAGGGAAGAGGTTTATTTGGCTTACAGTTCATAGATGTTTCAGTGCATAATTGGCTGGCTCTGTGGCTAGGATGGTAGGCAAGCATCACAGAGGAGAAACAGAATGGTGTGCACAAGGCAGCAAAGAGAACGACAGGACTTAACAGCATCTCCCTGCCCATTTTGTCTTATTCAGACTAGGGCGGGTAGCACTCACTTAAACTTATGGCCCTTGAGCCTAGCATTGCATCATGAATCAATTCCACTTCACACACTAGATCCAGCCTATGACCACGTGAGGCTTTGGGGGGACATCTAGACCCAACCCATAACCGAGGGTGTGTCTCCCTCCCTTGCTTCTCTTTTATCTCTCTCTCTCTCCTTCCTATCATGGAGGTGACCAGCTTTCCTCCCCCATGCCTTTCTGCCATGCCATTTCTTCCTTGGAGCCAACCAAACACAGCGTGAATTCTCTGAAATTGTTACACCTCAAATCCTTTAAATTGTGATTGTTGGGTATTGTGTACCAGCAGTGGGGAAGTAAGTACGGGTGTCTCTCATGAACACTGGCCACGCTCTTCCTCGAATCTCCCAAAGGCTCTCTGTTGGTGAACATATCCTGTATGCATTCCTTTCCTGGCTCCTGGATATTTTTACAGAATATTTTTCTTCTTGAATTAAAAAGGAAACTGTCCTGTTGACTTTTCAGAATTTAAAATCTGTGATTTTTATACGAATACAAATTAGTACAGCTCCACATGTGTTCATAAGGGGACATTCACCCAGCCCTGTCACTTACCAGCCGGTCACCTGGGAAGTTCCCAGCCCTAGGAGACTGGGCTCTTCGTCTGTGAAGCGAGTCTGGTCAGGCCCATCCTGCAGGACTGCAGGAAGGTGTGTACTGCGTGGAAAGCACCCAACCCAGTGCCTGGCTGGGACTCTGAGCACACTGAATGGCGATGGCTGCTGTTTCTAGTAGGATTCAAACCCACCCCTAGCACTCGGAGATGTTATTATTGTCACTGCTCTTCAGGACATACCAGAGAATATGCAGCTCTGCAGGGCAAGGAAGAGCAAATCAGGGAACATGGATTTTGTAAATAAAGTTCTGTAAATTCACCCTCTTAATGGACGTGTTACAAAATCTATGCAAAGAAAAGTCTTCCTTGGCAGATTCAGCTCAAACTACTAGAATGTGAGTGAAGGACCAGCACTTTCTCTCCCTTTGTTGATTTTCCATTTGAACTATTATTTTCATTCATTTCATCCAAAATGTAGCCCTTGCTTAGATTTGTGCAGATGACACAAAAAGTAACCTAATTATACCGCTCCAATGAACCTCCCTCTGGCTTTCTCAGGCCAGGAAAAAGTATCAGCCTAGAACTTTCTGGGCATGACTTTAAAGACACATCCCCCCGTTTCCCTGGAAATTATTGTAGATAATGGATATAAATCACCTAGACCTTGTGTCGTATCCAGCTGTACTGGGAGAAGATCTCAGGACATGTCCCATGTCTGACTCAAGTGAACATTCCTCTTTCCTTGAGTGAAAAAGAAAAAAGCAGCTTTCCACTTTCAGCCTCAAGATATTTCAACTGGGTAATCTGGCTCCAGCCACTAAACAGCTGCACTAATTGACTCAACAGAAGGAACAGCATTTTCTGCAATCTCCAAATGGCCGGCACTCCACATTTTCCCTGGGCTGCTCTCTGCTGGGCCCCACTCCTCACTGCTCTTTTACTTGTCTCTAGGTCCTGGAGAACATCGCTTCATTTCCTGACATGCCTGCTGCCCCAGACTCCACCATCCTACAGGTAAGGGTGGGTCCTGCTCAGCCTAGTTTACTCATGTCTCTACTGCTATCACTGGGCCTTCCAAACATCTCTTATCAATAAAGGTTTAAGTCAATGCATCAGTGAGCAGGTGAGATTCTTTATTAAGAATAAATTTCTCCAATAATTTTGAATGACCCAAGCATACACAGGCATTTTTAAAAAAAAATTACACAACAACACGCTAAAAGGGTAAAGGAAAGTAAGAATTAAGTATCTTTGACATTTTTCTGTCTTTAATGACTCCATCTATTCCATGGATAACTTCTTTACATTTCCAAGAAAGCTTGTGTTTCAATGTTGTGTTGTCTTCCTCCAGGTCACAAAACAGAAGATTTTACACTTCGTCTTACAAAATAGCAAAACTCTTAACATGGATAAGTAGCAATATGTTTGTTACCAATGCCATTAAATATTTAGAAATTGAAGTTAATTAAACCTTCTATTGAAGGGAACAACTTTTGGAAACAATATCAAAAAGCAAAAAAATCTCCAAGGCACCCACATAGACCAGAAATGCAAAGATGTTATATAATGAGTTTATACAATCCCTTTTCTTCCTCTGCACTACTTAGAAGAGTGATTGGCTTTTTCAAACAGAGTGAAAATCTACCTCAGAATTCACTTGGAACTGGAGAACCTGCTGGATGTGGCCTTGGCAGGTGCTCTGGCCTTGGTTCTGACCCAAGGTATCACCCCTCCACTGGCCCTGGAAGTTGGTCCCTGTTTCCTTCGTCTCCCAAAACTTCCCCATAACAGAGAGTAAAGGCATTGGGGGTGGTATCATTGACTTTGGCCAAAAATTCTAGAACTTTCGTCTTGCTGGTTTCAGCATGGGCCCTTGGACCCCACAGGAACTCATAGCGAGCAGGATCGCTGTTGGGCACCCGCCGATACTCTAGGTACCCTTCCCGTACCAAATCCTCAGTGATGAATTTCCGGGGCTCCCCATAGATGAAGTGCTCCCTCCCAGCATGCACCCCTATCCCATTCAGCACTTCCCATATGACCTCCTCACTGGCACGGTTGCCCTGAAGGAAGATGACACCCAGGACGATTATCAGGAGACTGGTCTTGGGCATGCTCTGGTCGTCACCCACCATGCCATCATAGGTGAGGCCTAGGGCAGGGACAAGGACATAGGAGTGGCTCTGAGGGTCCACTTCCTTCACATCAATACCAAAGACCAGCTGCATGCACTCAGAGACTTCCCTGAAGATCACAGGGAAGTGCTCCTGATAATTTTTGGTGACAATTTCCAACATTTCTCCCTTTGTGGTTGGTTCCTTCATTAGATACTTAAGGGCCAGGAACTCTACCAATTCAGCCACCTTACCATCTATGGCATCACTAATCAAGGACATAGTGTCTGGCAGGGTTTGTGAGAGGGATGAACCCTCCCCTTGTTCACTGCTGGAGTCCCCATGGGATTGGCTCGATGGGGTGGCAGCCATGGCATTGGGTGGAGAGGAGCCTCCCTCGGGACCCAGCGTTCCAGCAGCAGAAACCTCCTCTACGGTGCCTAGGATCAGACAAGAGAAGGAAGAAGAGGATGAGGAGGAAAGGCAATGAGAGGAGTGAAAGAGGTGGCCTCCTCCTATACAGCATAGAGAACCTGCCCACCCACCAAGCCCTGCATCTCACTTTGGTCCTGAGAGTCTTCCTGAAGCTGGTGCTTTGGAGATCCAGACATGATGACTCTGGTAATGGAGAGCGGGCAGGAGCTCGGTGACCAAAATTCAAGAGGCCTGGGGGAGAAAGAGAGGTTGTGAGCAATCTTAGCTAAGAAAATCACTTTTGGCAGCTCTCACAAATGATAACTACAGTTCTCCTTTCTGGCTGATGCTCTAGGGCCTTACAGGCTCCTGTCCTGCTGGAGATCCTGTCCTCAGAGAACCTGGCATAGAAAGTGATATGGCTTCTCGGAGTACAGCTGGTCTACATGGGGCAAGGCTCTAGTGCAGACAGTAGGGTGAATGAAGCCAGGTACTACAGGTTCCCCTCTAATCTGGAAGGGTGGGGCCACTGGTTCTCACTCAGGGCATGTACCTCACCTTGACTCCAGACACTGCCTGGGCCTCCTCTGCAGTGGGACCTGAGGACACTGCCTTACATCAAGACCTTCACTGCCTGGGTCCTGGAGCCCCTGTAAGAGGTATGGGGGGCCCCTCAGGCTGCAGACCTCAAGCACAGTCCTGCTCCCCACCAGCCCTCACAGGAGGGGTGGGCTGGACTCTTGAGGTTCCCACTGTTCTAAGATGGATGGTCCCCTCTGCTTACTCACGGCCCTAAAATTTCCCTGGGCAGGGCTTGGACCCCAGCCCTCGGGTTGCCTGAAGCAAACCTCAGAACAAATAACCATCTCCCTGATAGTGAACAAAGGGCTGTGAGGGTCCTCACACTCGGCCACACTTGCCAGGATCAACAGGAAAAGGTGGTCAAATTCAGTGGGGTCCACTAGCCCTGGGAAGGGATACCTTCTCTGTCATCACCTTGATGACTGCTAAGGTCTGAGACTCCCTGTGATGACCTCATCCCACTTTCTTTAAACATGGGCCTTATCATGAGACAACCAAGGAAGCCTTCAGGGGAAGCCAGTCCCTCTATGCTTCCTGAGTCTCCCCATAAGTGACAGAAGAGACAAGTTGAGGCTGGTGTTCTCTATTTTCAGATAAGAGGTTCCCTCTGCCCACACCTAGACTCCTGGCAGGGTCTGGGATGCCTATGCTCTCCTAGGCTGATAACAGTGGAAGCCAAGCTCTGAGAATTTCCATCTTTTTTGTGGGGGTGGAGTATTTTCATACCTTCAGTCCTTACCAAAGTTCTTTACCTTGATTCCTGGCAGATCCTGGCCTCCTCTCTCTGCTGAGCAGGCGTAGCTCCTCTGCTGACCTGGCAACACACCAAACACCAATGTGGACCTCCCTGAGACCAGGGAGAAAGAAGTGAGGATGTAGCATTGCTGAAAATCCCTTCGTGGGTTTTCCCCAAGCTTTGGCCAGAAGAATCAAGTTTCAGGGTCCATCTTTTGTTTAGCGCTTGCCCAGGGATTCACAGTTCCCCTCTGCTGACTGGCACATACATCTTGTTATCCAAGGCCACTATCTCTATTTGATTCCAGAGGCAGAAGCTGGAGGTAAAGCACCTGTTCCTCATTATCCTGCCTGGGGCCATCCTGGCCTGCCAATAGCAGCAGATTTCCAAAGCCTTGGATCTGTTTACCTGGAATTAAACTCCTCTAAGACAAACTCCTCCAAGACAAGAAAAATCAGGGGAAACTGTGCACTGCACCTCCAAGGGCTGATAGGTACCAGTTGCCCTCTGGTGCAGATTACAGTCCCCTCCTCGAGTCCTGGAAGAATCTCACCCCTCTGTGGACCTGAGTCCTCCTCCCTCAGATTCCAGGTCAGGATGCAAGATGAAAGCATAGGCCAGCTAGGTCTCGTGTGTCATGAGTCCTGGACCCTTCAGTCCCACCTCGGTTCTCATCTTGACTGATACAGGGTCTGGGCTCTTACCCTTTCTGAGGTCACACTCCTTCCACCAAGCTCTTAAGATCCCTCAGAACTGGGTGCAGGATCAGGAATCCACTGCCTGGTCACATTACACGTGGCTTCGCTGGATTAGGGCAGGGGCAGGCTCCTGTGCGATGCTCCCTGTTCTAGAGTCCAAGGCCCCCTCCTCTGTGACCAAGACTGTCACCATTCTCAGAGCCTTGTCTGTGGAAGTTGGACACACATCCAGGCACCACACCCAATGCTTTGCAGGGCTGCTAACTAGGGAAGAGATGTCCTCCAAAGTGTTCCATTATTGGAGTGGTGTAAGTGCCATGTTTCCCTCTTAGGGGTCATGGCCTTGATCCCTGGCAGGCTGAACCTGTCTGTCTACCTGACTGTTCCCTGCCACATCAAGGCTTGGACTTCCACATCCTCTGAGGCCCAAGTGGGGAGGGGACACATTCTGACAGCCTGGGCTGACGACAGATGGATCTGGATTGTTCAGAGAGCCTCTCTCTGGGCTGGGGCTTCATTACCTCCCTCAGGACCTCACCTAGACTGGGAACAGATTCTCTCTGCTCCCCCTCACCTGAAGGTCAGTCCTCAGAACAAGGCCGTTACCTCTTTTTGACTCCACAGGTTAAAGTTAGAAGGTGGCACACATATACTTGCACATGGCTGACAAGAGGTGCTAAAAGGGATTCTCTCAGGGCCCCTCTGTTTCCTCAGACCTCACTTTGGCTCTACTAGAGCTAGGGTCCCCACAATCTGTTCCCCTCAGACCAGACCAAGCTTCTGAAACTCAGGAACCCCTTAAGGCGGAAAGTTCTTCCTGGGTGTAAGTTCCCCTGACAAGGAATCCCTGGGGTTCTGGACTGACAACAGAGTACAAGCTGGGTTATTTGGGGACCCTCTTTTTGGGCAGGGCACCTCAGTTTCCTCATAGCTTCTCTACTTAATCGATTCCAGGTTCTCTCAGCTCCATTCACCTGAAGAAGAGACCTCAGAACAAGAGTCTCATACCCATGGTCTTCTGAGGCAGGTGTGGAGGAGGAACCTCATTCATACAAATTGGCCCCTGTGTAATACAGAAAAGAGAGATCTGGATTGATTGGAGTCCTCCCTCAGCCCTCACCCTGACCTATCTGAGCCCAGGTCCTCTCCACACCTGCTCTCTGAAGCCCAGACCTCAGAACAAGGCTCTGACTCTGTACTCAGAGTCTCCTGATATGATAAGGGGTCTCCCTTCTAAGAATTCTTACCTAGGGTGCAAGATCGGGATTGTTGGGAGCTTTCTAGAGTGGAGCTTCCACACTCTCCCACAGCTTCTCAATTTGACCTAACTAAGCCTAGCTTTCTCCTCTCCCCTCACCTGATGAGAGAAACTGAGAAAAGAGATTTTACATCACTCTTACTCCATGAAGCAGCAGTCAGTGGATGTCATATCTGGCAACGTGCCCAAGGTCTCTGAGGTCTTACCTCAGGAGCTAAACGGGATTCTCCAGGTTCCCTTTCTCCTCCCTAGAGGTCATCACCTTGGTTCCCGGCAGAGACCAGACCTTTGTTCTTTTGTGGACCTGAATCCATTACCCTAGACCCAGATTTAGAACCCTGGGCTCCACAGAGCTAGAAAAAACACTCACATGAAAATCCTTCCCCAGAGTGTAGGGCTGACAAAAGAGTCAGATCTGGGTGATTTGGAGACCCTGTCTATGGGGTGTACATCTTCAGTCCACCTTCAAGTTTCAAGTTGACCTAACACAACCCACTCCCTCCCTGAAGCCCGGATGTCAGAACAAGGCCCTCCCATCGCTCTGGCCCCGTGAGTGGGGGACTCAGTGGAGGTCACATCCAGTAACATGTCCCTGACAACAGGAGTGGAAGGGGATTCTGCAGGTCCCTCTGGCCTACCTAGAAGTCGTAACCGTGGTTCCCAGCAGAGCCTGGACCCTGGTCCTCTTCACCTCAGTCAGCTTTCCTCCATCTATAGTCTCCATGGTGGCAGCCATCGGAGGACCAGGCTTAATTGTATAAAGTATACATGTACACTATACTTAAGTATAATTACCTATTCATATGTGTGGATACGTTCATATATTCAGAATGGATATGTATTTTATATGTGTAGTTATACAAATGCATTTTCACATATATATGTAGACAACATACATCATTTAAGTAACGATTGTTCTAATATGCATGATTCACTTTTAAACTTGCTATTTCTAGTACATTCTTTCCCTTCTATTAAAGTAGTGACTGTTGTGAAAGCCAGTCCACAACCACTAAGGTGCTTTCAGGTGGTTATTAGCTCAGTCTCTGGAGCCATACTCTCTCCATTCTCCTGCTGTCCTCAGGTTTCTCTCAGGCCACTGCCATCTCTGGCCTGAGGAGGTGCCTCAGGCTGTGTAATGTTGCAGAGCCAGGAGTTTTTCAACTTTCTTCCAACTCATGCTGTCACAGTTCACCTACTCAAGTCTCAGCCCCCACCCGCTTTCCTGCCCCTACTCCAGTCACAAGTACCAGTTAGAGAGTCTTCCACCTTCCTCAGAAAAATGTTGTTTAAAGACATTTAGTTGCCTATGTGTGTTTGCTAGGCTTTTCTCACTCTTTCCTGTTGGTCTCTGTGGCTGTCAGAAAGCACAAAACAGGTAAGACTCTGACTTATAAGGAATTTAAGGGAAACTGTTTAATATTACTTTGTTTATCCTCAATGAATACGCACACTGCTCTATTTATTTCACACTTTTTTCCCTGAATCTGTCAGTAGTTTTATAGATGCTTCTATAAAGACCTTATATAGTCTTTCAAGATGTTTCTAGAATTTAATTACTGTCGTAGAAGGCACATTGTCGGGCCAGGGATTTAGCTCAGTGGTTCGGTGGCCTGCCTTGCAAGCACAAGGACCTGAGTTCAATCCCCACTACCAAAAAAAAAAAAAAAAAGGCACATTGTCTATTAATTGCTTTAGTCAGTGCTTTGGCATTGCAAAGATTTCTGTATTGTTAATCAGGTACCTACTTAGTTCTGAAGTGTCAGTCCCTTAAATATTCCATTGTAGTTCCTTTTAATTTTCATGATACATGATGATACTGTCACTAAAATACTTTTCTCCAATAATATTTTGGGTTTCTGTAGCCATGATTTTGTTTTAATCAATGTTTTATTTATGGGCTACATTTTCATTTAGTTGATTGTTTCCTTTACACTTCAAGAAACACTTAAATATTTCTCAGATGCTTATTTTTTTGTTCCTTGCACTTTTGGTGTCAATCCAGAAACTATTACTAATACCAATGTTGTGGAGCTTTCTTTCCTCAGATTCATTCTAGAAGTTTTATAGTTGTAGCTTTTATGTTTTAATTAATGTTTTCTCTGTCTACCTAGATCAGTTTTTCTATTTATAAATTGTATTGCTAAAAAGTGATCAGTGTTCTTTAGGATTTTATCTATAATGGACAATATGTGTCATGGAAGCTTTTTTATTACAGAAACACAGTAAAGAGGAAATTATCGTGAACTCCCTACATCTGACACTCAACATCAGCAAACTCAAATACATGGCAAATCTGGTTCTAGTGAGTCCTTCCACCTACCTACATTGAAACTACTGGAAAAATGCAGAGTAAATCAAAAGCATCCAAATATTTCATCTCTCAATATTTCAATACACATTTCTAAAAGGTAAAGGTTTTTAAAACCACAATTGTCATCATTTTTAAAAAGTACAGAAATGATCATCAAAAATACAATATGTTAAATACTTTTCTGATAGACATTTCTATAAAGAAATTTGATTCCTTCTATTGAGAACAGCTCAATAAAGATATATCTGGGTTTTATTGCTATGCGAGTGATGTCAGTTATTGGCCTTCTCTGCTGACTGCCCAATGAAATATCTACACATATCTATAAATATTTACATATGTAAACTTCTGTTTGGATATTAAATTGCATGTGACTTTATACTGATGTCTCCAACTGTAAACCATTTCCACAAGGGTCATTCTGGCCCCCTCCTCTGGATTACTCATGGCCTCCCAGTCCATCAGTGAGAATACTGAACCCCACCTGCAATCTACTCTGAATGGTTCAGTTCCAGTATGGAGGAATAGCAGATTTGGATTTACTGAAGGTATCCCTATACTCCCGTGGGAAATAACTTTATCAATTATATTAAAATATTTACAGTTTCATTGACCTTTAGTCTCACTGACCTACTCATTTCCGACATTTTGCTAACCTGCTGGGTGTTCCTTAATCTAATGAACTAAAGATATCTGGATAAGCAGTCAAAATTTACCCCCTATAAGTTTCAAACCCAAATGTATATTCTTAAATTATATTTAATATTCCAACAAATAGAATACCTAACATAATAAATCTATCCTCCAGAAAACTAGAATCATAATTCCTTCCCTAAAGTCT